AAAGTTTTGGTACTTAAAAGAGAAAAAGTGCTCTAATTACAGCTCTGCTTTCTCTTTCTTCTACATTTCTTTCTTTTTTAGTTCAATCACCTTTTTTAAAAGAATTGTTTCCTTTTCTCTCTTCAACAAAATTCTGACACCTTGTCAAAACGACAAAACATTCAAAACAAAATGTTGTCAGTGATGCTGGAATATTTGGATGAACTAACCAAAGAGCCACCTCAGTTTCCCCATACAAAGTCTTTGGCATTCTGCTGTCAGTTGTGGAGTGACAGCCACCTTCTGTGGTGGAAAAGGGAAAATAATCCTGCTAAAAACTTCTCTGGTAAAATAAAATTAAGCATCAGCTTTATTTTGCTAATAATTAGTAATTCTGGAAATGAGACTACTGTAATGCTGAATATTTAGCACCAATCCTATTGTCAAGGTATTGCAGTTATATAAGTGAAAACAATTTTATTTTTGTCTTTTAAACAGCCAACCCTGGAAAAGGGGACATGACGGTTTTGGTTATTTTTGTTTTCTTTTTCTTTTTTTTCTCTTGTTTTGTTTTCTTTTTGTTTTCTTTAGCATTCTCCTAAGGTCAAGATTCACATGTATTTCAAGTCAAGTTCTGCAATGCATTGTATTGCAGTTCACTTCTGCCCTCTGAGGCATACGTAATTACACTATTTTTTAAATGAAGAGTGATTGCTTTCTGCCATGAGACATTTGTATCCTGTATGCAAGATATTTGCACCTTCTTTTTTCTTCAAGTATTTGATTTCTGTAAAACATTGATTTTACTGTTCTAGTACATTACATATAGGTGTACAGCTTCATAAAAGGGCTCTGCATCTTGGTTTGTTATCTCACCATGGATGGAGTTCTGTCACAGGAACTTGTTCATTTGTTATTTTCTGCCCTTCACTGATAGACAGGCAGCACAACCTGGACCTGGAGAGCAAAGCAAAGCAAGCAAAATCCTATCAAAGATAAAATCTGGAATTTGACTTAACCACTGATGTTTGATGCACTGCAGAAAATAAATTAATAAATAAATAAGAATTAAAATTAAAAAAAATCCTTAAGCTACTTTTCCTGTACCATATTACTGCCAGGCTCTCTGAAGTGTAAGGAGAAGATAGTTTCGCATCAGTATCACTTGTTCTAAGTAACTCATATTCACGTGTGTCTGAGAAGGTCCTTACTGCAGAAAAACAGTTAAAATTGATAAAGCTGAGGAGATGGGTGCAGAAGTTAATTATTCCATTAAAGACTTTAATAAACTGACGATTAATAATAGCACTAATATTTCTAATAACTTAAATATTTCTGCACTACATTACCACTGCAATCCTCATCGAAGCATTTTAATCCGAGTTTTGCAACGGGCTTTGTCTGAGATGGGTATGGCTTAAGATTATGTGATTATTCTTGCATGCTGAGCACACGTAGCTCATGAATAAGGCTAACTGCCTGAGTTGGTTGCTTGGTTTAGGCAGTCCTCATTTTCTAGTGAGAGGAATGCTCGGATTTAAAGATTGTTAGCACGCTAATGGCAAGGTTTAGTATGAAATCTCCCTCTTAAATTCCTTGCACTGTTGAACTTTGTTTTTTATTTCAGTCTGAGGAGACTTCTAGCTGTCAGAGTGAGGAAAGGTAGAAAAGGAGAGAGAGAGAGTGACCATAAAGCACTCCATTTTTATGTATATGTAAAAGGTGGAGTATAGCTAAATTGCTTTGTGATAAGATTATGCTTCATTTGGTCCGTTTTCTCCTTTCCTGTGATGTATTTATATAAGCCTAGAGGATATTAAAATATATTTTAAACCATCAGTTCATAATGCAAGAGAAAGATTAGACTCTTCTTCACAGAGTGGTGACTTGGAGCAATAAAAGTCTGTATATAAATAAACATCCAAAAGAAATGTATTTGGCAGACTACTCATGGTAATACAGAAAACCTTTGTGTGCACAATCAGAAGCAGGAAAGGAATTTCTTTCTCACAGATGAATGCGATCAAAAGGACAGTAATAAAATAGGGCCCTATTTTTTCAATGAGTAGATCTTTTGTCTTGTAGCATTATACGATGTTGACTTTCAGTAAAAGCTGTATAATGGATTGCATTGGATCTGTACATTTTTCTAAGAACGCTCATCTATAGTGAAAGGTGGCACATTTCGGTTCTTGACAGAGTATAAGTACATACTGATCTAGTCCTGACCTAAACTAGGTCATCTCCTCTAGTCTGGAAGAATATTTCACACTAATTTGCTTTCTTCAGAGTACTGGCAGAAAGACTAAAAAGTTCATCTTTGAAATTCTGAAGGTACTGTCAAGACAGGCAGCTTTACCATACTATGTACTTACCTGGAACTATTTGCGAGTCGGTAAGTATGTGCACACAACAGATACGTGTTTTCTTTACTTGTGCACACCATTTCTTAAGCATATTTGTTTTGCTTAATCAAAATGTTTTCGAGAGCATTTACAGAGGAGGCAAATGATGGCAGATAATGAGATATGATTGAAGAGATTAAAAAATGATGTTAATCGAAGACATGATATGGACCAATTTCAGTGACCATTGTTCACTAATAAAGAATTCTAAGACACGTTAATTACATTGGAAAAAAAAAGCACATGCATTATAGTATATAACACGGCAAGTATTTGTCTTTATTTCTATTCATTGCTAACTTACAGTTATAAATAATTCCTTAAATATGCAAATCTATGTTTTCAGATAACATTACCAGATGTGCTTTTAGCATAACTGAGTAAGGTTTGTATGGATGTGGCTGATGTCTCTAACTTTCTGCATTAATGATTAATGATTAATCTATGTGTATGTGTTGAAAAGACAGAAAAGAATAAGATATGCTTCTACTCTGAGATTGTAACAGATATTTAAAAGAACATTGCTATTATCAGTATTGCTTAGAAGCAAGACTTGAGAGTGGCTTCTTGTTCAACTGAAAGTACTGCTAGAATAAGTGCAGAATGTAATTTTACAAGAAAGGACTTTAGCACTCTAGGAGCAACAACATTCTGTAGATACTTACTATTCTGTTTTTAAGCAAGAAAGTAAATTTGCTTAATGCTTTTTGTATATACCACCCAGACTGATAGGGCGCTTGCTCTATACATTTCTGAAAGGAAAAGAACTAAGTGAAGTTTTGATATAGAAACAATGTCTACACAAAAATTGATTAAATATAGAAAATTAGAAGGAAAGTGTGGAAATACCTTGTTTCTGATGTCCAGCATCATTTAAAAGAGCTTCTTTGACTGCTCTGTCTTTAATATCTCCTAATGAATATCCTTAAACCCAATATAAAGCCAGTCTGTTTTTCCCCTTTTTTTTTTTTTTTTTTTTTTTTTTACCCAATCTTCTTTTCTCCTGTACCAAATTCTCCCTGTCTCTAGTATAAAGTGGAAACTTAGTGGAAAGTTCCTCCTACATTCAAACAATATTTGATGACTTAAACAATAATGTTACCCTCAAAAACTACTTCTTGGGAAGTTTAACCAGGCTTTAGAGGACCAAATGTATATTCTTTGATGCACACTTCTAGATGTTCAGTTCTGGAAGTCTTTCAAAAGGAATGCTGCTCTTTCACCTCCCATGCTTACCTACAGTCTTCAATAGCCAGTGAAATTCTACTTGAAAATTTAAGTTAGAAAGATGAATTGTGATCTTCGTGTGTCCAGTTCATTTTCAACATTCAGAGTTTGAAAGAGGGAGGATAGAGTTTGGAGCAAAAAACCTAAGAATGCCTCCTTCTTTTTTTTCAGTTGATCTTTTCAGTTGATCTTTTGGCAGTAGATGGTAGTGGTAGCACTGGTTCAGGATATTTTACATTTTTTCTTTTCTGCATACATTCTTTTAGTAAATAAATGCCTATAGTAGTATTTGGGAAGGAAGCGTAGACACATCTCCAAATATGAATTTTAAATCAAAAAAGACATACTTACCATTAGTTATGCATCTTATAAATAATATTAGTAGGATGTTTGTGGTTGGAGGCAGTGAAAAGCCCAAAATCTTGGCACTGGATTGAGTTATCCCAGAATGGATGGGACTGAAATTCAGGATGTTTGCTGAAATCCCCATTACCCTTGAAGCACAGAGCAGGACCTACGCTTTCACTGCCTTCTCTTCTGAGGAGTCTGCATTCATGGCTAACCTATGAATAAAGTCAATGCAACTGAACAATGTAATTTGCAAATAGGTGTTGTGATACAATCAGGGAAAATAATTTATTTTAAGTGGTATAATTATTTAGCAAGTCTGGAAAATTAAAGGTTAACAAAAATTAAAATTATTGCCAAAATTATTATTTCCTAAATTATGTTTTAGCAAGTTGACCACTATAGATAGTAAGGAAAACTGATATTAATTTTACATATGGTATATGGCATTATAAATCTCACCTATGATATGCAAAGAGTTAGTTATTTCTTAGATTATATGAGTCTGAATAAAGCATTTACAATTTCTATTCTAAGTCTGGTGTCTGATTAGTTTAAATATCTTTGAATTAGTGGAATGATGCTCTAAATATCAGGTCCCTGTCAAGAGATTTTAATGAGTATCAAGTCAGATGATTAAGGTAAAATGATTCTATAGTAAACATGAAAGCTTCAGATGTCAAGTTAACAAAGTTAAAACTCTTCCAGTAAAATAAGTAACATCAGTTGAGAGTTCAAAGGAAAGTATGGTTTCAGAGGAATAAGCAGCTTCATTAAACTCTATTAATGATCCTTGTAGATAAATTTTGCATTTAAATTAATGCCTTACTTCCAGAGAAAGCAGTATTACTGAGCTACAACCCGTGATGCAAAGAGATTTACATGAGCTGAACATCTGTGATTTTCTGATGACTGACCTCCTAAACAAGGGTTGTGGTTTTTTTTTAGAATTACATTAGTTGCAGATTTAGTCATTCACTTTTTCCCCCATCTCTGTTAAATGACAGCTGTTTGAATTAAATTCATTCTTTATCCTTACAGGGTCTTCATTCTGGTGCCTATTGGATATTGTTCCTATAAAGAATGAAAAAGGAGATGTAGTACTATTTCTGGCCTCTTTCAAAGATATAACAGACACAAAAGTGAAGATTGTTGCAGAAGACAAAAAGGAAGGTTTGTGTGAATTGAAACAAACATTGATAATGCAGTTTTTTGAGTGTCATAGTTACACTGCTCTCTTTCATTCATTGTCCAATACAAAGATTTGCTGAAGCTCCAAATAATAAATATATATCTATAGATATATTAGATATAATAGATATATTAGATATAATCCATAGATTAATATAATCCATAGCTACTAACAGGCATGTAGCATGTACCTCATATTAACATAAAAGTGGGTGTGTGTTCTGTTTAAATGTATTTAAAAATATTTTTAATGTTCAGTGAGTGAAATCCATTGCACAACGATCAATTATATTATTGGATTTTATTTTCACAGTTTTTATGGCTAAATAATACTTACAATTTTTCAAAGGTTAAGGAACCAAAAAGGGAATGCATAGATACTTTCCATGAGATACAGTTTTTTATGGTATTTTTGGTGTATCTTTTACACTTAGATTTTATGAATGGAAAGTTATTCCAAGTTCCTTTAATTTCTAAGTTTCTTAGAAGGCTTACTTAAAAAAATTCCTTCATATTCATTGTTTCCTAAGTCTTTTGTAGAACCACTGGCATTTCACCAATATTTTTTGTTGAGGCATTCTCAGGTTGTATCTCCAATAGTCTTTTCCAGGCTCACTCTTTCTCATCTTCGATACTGTTCGTCTCTTATGTAATATCTTGTTCTCTTTGTACTTTCATGATAACATCATCCTGAGATTTATCTCCTGGCTTAATGGAAGCTGTTTTATTGCTTTCTTTTTACTTGTGGATTGTCTTTTTATTTTACAGACCACAAGAGTTCATATCCTCTTCAATGATCTGCAGAACTTTTGTCTCTTTTATCTCATCTGTTCACACAACTTCAGCTGCTCCTTTCTGCCAATGTATCTGCAAAAGTCCGCATATTTCCCTTTACCCAGCCCAAATGCCAGATGTTGTCAATGACGTTTTCACTTGAATACAAAGTATTATGATAAAATATAATACTCATATAATATTCGTTTTTCATACAAACTTAACAGATATTTTACTTCTAGTAAAATCAGCCTTTTCAACCAGTGGATAGAACCATTAAATTTGTTCTGAGGCTTTCAGATGAGAAAAAGGGAAAAATGTGTACAACAGTCTTTAAGAAGTGTTGTTACAAACAATTCTCATATGCCTCTTTTTTTTTTCTTTTCCCTAAACCTAATTAACTATTCTTCTTCCTTCCCCTACCTGATTCACCATTTATCATGGCAGTGTTCTTAGAGGTCCCAGTTTTTCGATAATGTCATTTTGCTTTCAATACTGCAACATTCAATATTATACAGAGAAGCCCATGCCTGCCCCAAGCGTTTAGGATATATCTCACTAGCCCCCAGCCTACTGGCAGTGCTCCTCCTGATGCAGCTCATGATGCTGTTACCCTTCCATACCACAAGGGCACATTGCAGGCAGGTGGATGGCTACCAGAACATACAAGTTTTGATTGGCAAGCTGTTTGCCCGTTATTTGACCCCTATGCTGTCTTACCGTATGTTTTTTTTTTCTCCCTAGGGATTACACGATCTTGTTCTCCCTTGTAATTTCTGTTTTAAAGGCTCCCTTATCAAGTTAGCCTGCCTCTTGGCAAAAATGCTCTTATCCCAGAGGTAAATATGAATGAAAAGTTGGACTACTCGATGGATTAAACTCAGTTACAGTGTTATGGGTTAACAGGCTGGCCTTTTCTCACTTGCAATTAAATCTTAGACCTGTATGAATTTCATAGAAATCGGCTTTATTTGGATTATGCATCATTTATTGGAAGGAGGAGGCATTCTTTTCAGTATGCCAGAAGTGAAAAACCCCATGTCAACCATTTTGCATTTCATATTTTTATGTTTAAAAAATGCCTGTTGTAGGCAGGGGTAGGTTCTTATAGCAAAATCTGTAATATGTAGATTGATTATTCTGTCTAATTACTTTCAGCTACTTCCTGACCGCTTAAGCTATAGCAGTGAGTATTCAGAGCACAAACTTTAGTTTCAGAACACCTTATGCTTCTCAGGAAGCACTCACCTAGATGTACATTATTTAAAGCTGGTAGAATTGTTTCAGGATGCACCATGCAGTTCTGCTGATGCAAGGAGTAGGATAGAACAGTTTGACTCCTCTGCTCAAAGGAACTGCATGCTGTGGAAACCTTTGTCCTTTAATGACTCTATTACATCTTCTCTGGGATGACTGCTCCTGGCTGACCATCAGAGTAGGAAGAATTTGCATCTCTTGCCTTCAGTAAAGAGAAACTGCTTTCATCCTGGTTAGTGCATAAGAGTTGAAACACCTAGGGGACACCTAAGTCTTTATTCCTGAACATGCAAATGAGCATATAGATGCTTTCTCTCTCCCTTTTCTGCCTTCTCTATGCAAGCAAATATGTTGTATCAGAATCTTTAGAAGTGTTGATCTTTGTGGCTACTAGTTTAGCTTTATACCAAGTGTTAAATGAGTGGCAGCTCTCAGAGCAGCACGGGATATGTTTTGAACATGAGCAAGGGGCATCCTTTATGCCATATATGGAAACAAAAAACAACAACAACAACAAGAAAGCAAACTGTGATTCTTTGAAAACATTAAGAAGGCAATATGTTCTCTGAAATATATTGTAATAATGATAAGATATACGCATTAGCAACCAAATAGCTCATTTGACTTATTGCATCCTAGTAAACTAATGCAAGTATTCCTTGATTTCTCTTTTAAGTCAAGTTACAGAATCATAGAATCATAGGTGTTGGAAGAGGCCTCCGGAGATTATCGAGTCCAACTCCCCTGCTAAAACAGGTTCACCAGAGTAAATTGAGCAGGAAAATGTTCAGGAGGTTCTTGAATATCTTCAGAGGAGAGTCCACAGCCTCTCTGGAAAGCTTGTCCCAGTTCTTTACCATCGCAGTAAAGTTATTTCACATTTACATGGAACTGTGTTTGCAAATTATGAGCTCTGTAGGTTTTTTTTGTTGTTGTTGATTTGTTTTCTTTTTTTGTTGTTTTTTTTTTTTTTTCTTTTTTGTTTTTTGGCTTGTTTTAAGTAATTTTTTATTCAGTTTCTTGGTTTCATGTTTGTTGGACTTGGCTGATGATAAACAGTGTAAAATGTATGCAGTGTTTCTTTTTAGACTTTGCTATTCAAGGATTTCAGACTAACAGCAGACATCATGAAAGAAACAGTCACTGTGTTTAGTATGTGCATTGCCAATTAGAAAAGCTCTTCACAGTTTTGTATGTAGTATGTTGTGTTTTGGGGCTGCAGGGAGTTAGCTTTGAAAACCTTTCTAATGTCTTATTTCTGTTGGAATATTTGGAAAAATAAGAAATGCCTTTCAAGTCATTTCTCGAGTCTAGACATAGCCTAATGTCTTAGATTTTATGAATTAGAATATCATGAGGATTAGAATTCATATTGCACATGTACTCTGTCCTCAGAAATACAGTTGAAGGGATTTGGGACATTTGAAGAATTCACCTGTAGTTGCAGCTGTACTAAATGTAATTCATGCACAAATGAAGTTCTCCTCAGAGCAACTTTGAAGTCCTGTGAAGACTCAGTAAAAATGTCTGTCAAAAGCAAGTTTGGTCTGGCTGTAGCTAAGACAGTTTTACAGCTGCTAGCTGTTCACTGTACCTTGTATAATTAAAATTGTAAAACTGTTTTATCACCTTTCACTTTCCTGTTCTGAAAATCTCATTCCTTGAGAGAGAGTTACTTGGTATTCCAGCGACTATATGAAGCCAAAAATATAGTTTTTTCAAGTTAGCTCTTTAAGGCTACTTTTTAAAAAAAGAAAAGAAAAGAAAAGAAAAAAAGGAAATCTCCTAGAGTTTACCTTTAGGCAAGTTGTCCTGAGCATACTATGTTTTTACAGGTGACAGATCTGGCTTTAGAATCCTAGTGAGAAAACTATAATTTACCAGCCTCAGTAATGAGATGGCAAGTTAACTTTTTTAATGCAGTAACACAATAGTTATGTTCTAGTTTGAATCTGTTACTTCCCTATAACAGACTCTGTACCTTTTCAGGAGAAAGCTGGGAGAAGGTTGTAGCAGTGAAATAGTTTAAAATCAGCTTACCTTTAGAGTTCTGCTGGACTTCAGTCTGTCGTCGAAGAAGCTGATAAATGTCTACTTGAACTTTTATTTTTCTTTCTGTTCTAAATTTTATGTGATAGATACAAATACCAGCTTCCGAAAAGGAGCACTTATTTTCTTATTTAAAAGTGTACACCCTTCAATGATCCAAGTGAAAGTGGACAGAAATATTTGGGTTACTTTCCCCTGACTCTGACCCCCCACACCTTTTCTTTTTTTAATGTTGGAGGGGTCAGCAGCTTATCTGACAAGTATAATATGACTGTTGAATTTTACCTGAAGTCATAGTATTAAAATGATAAAAATCATACTATTCTTCCTGTGTAAAAAAATTGGTCTGTAATAGCTCTTCAGCTGGTATGTGCTTTCAGTGTATCTTATTAAATCAGTTAATCAGTTAACAGAGAAGTGGCTAGAGGTTATCCTGGAGCTTAATAACTTAGCTAATAGTTCTGTGAATATTTGGCTGGTGTTGACAGAAAGAATTGTCCTTACTGCTTTCATTCTGTCTTTAATACCAAAGAGGTTTGTATTTGTTCTTTACTGCTGGTGCTCTCTATCCCAGAGAATAATGCCCCAAAGTTAGCAAAAAGGTTTTAAAAATCCTGGAAACAGTCATACCACCTTTCCACAAAGTCTCTCTTTTGAAGCTTTTTTATATTCCATATTTATATTATATATTTATAATATATTTATATATTTATTTATATTTATAAATATTTATATATTTATATTTTATATTATGTTCCAAAATCTATTCATACCATTTGACTCCAATATTGTCCCTATTTTTGCGGGGGAAACTGTCTATGAAATGGATTTTGAGTTCATGATACTGTGTATGATTAAATACTATTGTGTTTCCTGTAGATATCATTAGATTTATTCTGTGGCATGTTGTAGACTGCTCATGGGTATCCGTGCAGACTACTCTTTCTGCTGTGGTTTTCCATATCTTATGATGGGAGTTTCTCAATACTTGTTTTAAAAGGAAAAAGTAAATACTGCACTTTTTAAAGGAAGCCTTGCATGGCTATAAGATTAGAAAGTGACTGAGAAACCCGTTAATGAATGTTTTGTTGAATCTAGTTTTGAAAACAAACAATATCCCAGCTAACATCATCTCACTGTGCAATCATGCCAAGTCTCTCGGTTATTCTACCCTTACAGAAATGCAAAGGAAAATTTTGTGTAGTGTGTGGAGAATACAGCAGCAGCAGAGATCATGCCACTTCTGTGATTTGAGAAGGGGAGGGCCCAGATGGAGGTAGTTTGAAGTCCTGACATTACCATTATTTTCCACAGTGCTTCAACATGTACGTGGAGCATTATCATGGACCTCTTCAAGTCTTTCTATACCTGGAAGCTTTTAAGCAAAGAAGAGTATCTGTTTGTCCTGTTCTACCTTGCTGTTGTTGTTCAAATTAGAATCTCATTCATATATTCAGAAAGTATATAACTTTCATGACAAAATTTTCTTTCTGAGAGCTGGCATTTCATGCTGTTTCAGCTCATCAGTAACATACAGTTTTAAATAAGGAAATAAATATAAAAATGTGCTTAGCTCTTCTGCTAATCTATCCATTTCTGTGTGTATGTTAGCAAAATTTTTGTTTGTCCCACGTACTTCCCTTGGACATCAAAAGATAAAAAGTGTTCTTATTATCATTGTGCTGCACCTTTATGCAAAACTACTTACAGAACTATAAAATACATTGTTTAATAAACCTAAGAAGTTGACTTTTCCCAGCTAGTAGGCACTTTAGGATTGATTGTCCATGTAAAAGTAGAAATCTTCCTTGCAAGTTGTTTTGAAACATCTATACTATCTTCCCTAAATCCATCTGGTGGATGGTCAGGTTTGCTGCATGTAGTGTGCTTATATGGACATATTTACAGTGTATGAAGGAAATTCAATACATCTTACCTTCACCTGTCAGCTACACAAGCAAACAGAACAGCTGTGGCAAGCAGGTGGTTAAGGTTGGATATAAATAATTGTATAGATTTTAAAATAAAATAATAAAGCAAGTATGGTCTTGCCCAGGGTGGTTAAGTCTATTGTTTCAATAGCTATTGCTGAGAGATCCAAATCTGTAGCCTCACAGCCTGTTATGTGTGTTGCACTGTTTGCAGTAGAATTATTTTATGTGGATAGTTACTCAGGTGTGCATGTATTTCCAGAGCAAATCTCCAGACTGTTTGACCTTCCCCCTCTATACCTCATAAAACAAAAAATACCAACAATTAAAAAATCATTTGCATTTTCTTGTGTTTTCTGTGGGCCTGACAAGTTCATAAGAATTCTCAAGGTCTTATGAGAGTACAGTTAAGACTGACAGAGAGGAGGAGGAGTTAGCTGCTTTTCTTAGAAAAGACTTCTGAGATTGTCACAGTGGTGATTATGTTGCTATAGTTAATCTCATTAAAAAAAAAAATACAAAAAAGCATAACAGAGAAAGGCATCACAAGGTGTGAAAAAACATATTGCCACTTTTCTCATCAAAGAAAGGGGGGGTTAATCATAATTTGCAAAGCTGCTTCCTATTTTAAAGTAGGGATTATAATCACACAGGGATAATGTAGAAGTGCCAGGCAATGGAGCCCCTAACAAGCTTTTTTTTAGAACACTAATTTCTTACAGCAGTTGAGGAGATGAGAAATCCTTTTGATTTTATGTTTATCTCATGCTCAAATAAAAGCATTTAAAGTACCTTCCTGCTGATGGTTGTATTCACTGGGTGTTTGTTTGTTTTTCCTAAAAACAGCAATGAAAAGACAAATAAATCTGTCAGACACCTAATAATTTTTAAGTATTAAGAAGAAACAGCTTTATATTCATAAAAATAAATAAACTGTCTTCTTCAGAATAGTGATCAGTAAACAGATATGGAACAGAGTGAAGGTTATTGATAATAATCACACACATATCGAAGATGCAGGCAATGAACAAAATAGTTTAGTAAGTATTAACATTACCTCTTTTCCTAAAGGCACTAAGAAGATCAGAAAGTAGGAGAAATCACAAAAATCATTAACTGATTTATGTTGTGAGTTATTGACATGCTCTAGTAATGGAATTGTCTAATTATATAATACCTACAAAGACAATTTGTATTCTTTGACTGTTAATACCATAAAAATCCTTTTCAGCTTAAAGGGAAAAACGATAGCAGTTTGTAATGAATTTTACACTTTCCTTTTCTATCCTTGCTTTGCTGTTTCTAGGAGTAGAGTGGATTTTGTTAGAGAAAAGATAGCATGAATATCTTACATACGGTGGAATCACTGTGATGAAAGTCACTTGCTGTGCAAAAAAATGTAGATATTTTGATTCTAAGTGCCTTATGCTCCACAATCCAGGTATGTTAATGAATAAAAGGTCTAGTAACTGGAATGTTAAACCTATGTAGGAGAAATCAGATCGGTCTAAACCAAAATATTATCAATCCAATGGCGTATAAAATGCAACTCTGAATTTAGGTGCTAGTAAGAACAAAGTTGATAGCATAAACCAATTGTTTGTCCATGACTTGAATGTTGTATGTTATTCTGGAAGAAGAAACTACTGAAATAACTGCCATAGCAACATAGCCCTGTATTACTGAGACTGCTAAAAATATTTGAAAAAACACAAATTGAAGGCACTGTGCCTGCTGTATGCAATGCAACTCAACATGGTTCTCATTCCATATCACCGAGGCTGTTGTATCTATCACCCACCAGCAAAGTCTACCTTGTGCTTTGTAGATTAAAGACCTGAAAGGCATTCAGTATGAGACACTGTGAGGACCAAGCCTTTGGTGGAAGAGTCTGGAAAATGTTGTCAGCCATAAACTAGGCAAGGATAATTTTTTGCTTTCTCAGTCTACTTGTATCATTTCTGAAGCATGTTTTATTGATTACTTCAGGAGGCAGCAGACTGAACTGAAGGGCTTTATCCGGAATGGTTGTCTAGGTCAAGAAACAAAAGAAAGAGAGACCTGCAGAAAGTTTCAAAAAGAATTTTAAATTGAAGCAGCAAAACTGTACTACAGCTATCCAAACCTATAGTAGTGACCTAATTCAACAGACTCAGCTGTTTTGTTCAGAGAAGCAGATAAAGTGTAAAATTACACTTTTTTTTTTTTTAATTTAGTTCATGTTTTATACAGTTTGATCATTAAGATATAACGTTTTTAAAAAATTCTATAATTATTTTCCAACCTTTTTTACCCTTCTTTGTTTCACTTTCGTTCTTTGGAGGCACAAAATAGAAATGGGAAATCTGCAGTAGGAAGTATGAAGCTTCTCCTTCCACTTTTGATAGTTTTCTTTTGAGTTTTAATTTTTGTTTTGCAGTGTATTTTTTATTTTTTTTTTTACCCTTTCTCTTATTTACTGACATAAAAAATCCTCATATGGATAGGGTTTTTCTATGTATTAATTGAAGCTTTCTTCATGGAGAAGTTTGGAAAGTTTGGTATTCTAACTTTTTCACTATTTATGCTTCTACTCTGAAGAGACAAAAAACACATCAATTTTCTAGAATTCAGATCTTTCATAGACAGGTTTCAAGATTTAGCTATTTTGCTTGTTATTTATTTCTGGCTGTACTAACTGTTTTTTCTTCCCTACCTAATTAATATGCATTGAACTGACTTTAATTAAACCTGTTTGACAGATAACTTATTTCTTTATTCTCATAATTTCTTTTTTTCAGAATAATGATGTATTGCAGAGTCACAGGAGTTGCTTTGAATTTACTGCTGTATAAGCAAGAAGAAAAAACATGATCTCATGATTTACAATTATAGATATCTGAATCGAGAGAAAAACCACAAAGCTTTCAAAGCAGTGCTCATTCTTTAATGGATTTCATGTCATCAAAAAACATGTCAAGTGATTATGCCTGTGATCGTGTGAAAAGAAAATTAGAAATCCAGAAGCCTCAAATTAAAAATTGCATATTACTACTAATAAGCAGCTTTTCAAGTTAACACATTCTGATATCGTGGTTTGTTTTAAAATGCAAAGCAATACAAAATTCTGCTTGTTTGTTTAGATTTTGTTTTGATTCTATGTTTTTTGTTTTGTTTTAAAAAATAAATCCAGCTGTTCCCCTCCCCCTCAATAAATAAATAAATAAATAAATAAATAAAATGAAAGTAGCTCAGTTTGCAAAGGTTGAAGTGCAGTTTCATGATGTTTCATGGACTCTTGCTTCTGTTCTACAGACAAATGGAAAGGAAGAGGACGAGCAGGGTCACATTTTGATTCAGCACGAAGACGAAGCAGAGCTGTCCTTTATCATATCTCTGGACACCTACAAAGAAGAGAGAAGAACAAATTAAAAATTAATAACGTAGGTGTGATTCTTCTTTTTTTTCAAACGTGCTTTGTACTGTCTTTTCTTTTTAAAAAAACAGACTATTAGAGGTCAGTAGATACCTGAAGATTACCTTAATCATAACTTTGACAAGATGAGTAAAGCATACTGAAGTTCATTTCTGTTTACTTCAGTACACTTTATGTGTCAATAATGCTTTTATTTATTTTACCTCAGGAACATCTCAATAATAATTTAATCAAACTGTTTCTCAAAAACAGTCTGTCTTAAAATCTCAGAACAGTATTTAGTTTCTTGTTTGTATTTCACTAGTATCAAAATGGTCTACTTCAAATCAGTTCCTATATTATTCACTTTGACATAAAAGTTTAAAATGTAAGTAAAAAGACAAAACGTGGGGAAGAATTCTAAGTTAAGGGAACTGAGATAATGAGATACATACAGTTTCAAAGTAGATCAAAGAAAAACAGTGTCCTGGCTCCATTTGCTGGCATGATCTCCTAACTGCGGAGAAAAATACTTGTTAAATGTGTTTAAAAATCTTTGATAGTCCCTTTTTATCTTGAGGAAAAAGCAGACCAAGTATATGTAATGTGATCACCCTGAAAAGCTGTTGGTCACCAAAATTAAGGAACAGTGCAGATACATTACCAAATTAGAAATTAATAGCAGAAAAGTCTTGGTTAGACTGAGAATATGAGAATACACAGAAGACAACACAACATACAACAGCATACTCTTCAACTGAGTGTAAATGTTAAATGTTAAAAGCTGTTGTAATAAAGAAATATGCTAAAAAAGATTAAATATTAAAAAAAATCTTACAAAATGTTTTAAAAATTTAAGTGTTAAATAAGTACAAGAATTTAAGAAAAAAAATACAAACTTTGGAAAATATGACCATAGCTCTGTGATTAAGAACAGACTGATACTAACAGCAATGTGAATTCAGTCCCTCTGATTCATGAATGAAGAAGGTAAAGATGTCAGTATTTCAAAAGAATCGCTCAAAGGAAAAAGATATGATAGACGAGGCAAATCCAATCAAGCGTGCAGCCATGCAGTTGTTGTTATGTTCGTTGTGAGTACCATTATGATCAGAAGTAATCTTAACTCACTGAATAAGTGACACTTGTCTTGTAAGTCTTCGTAACTGGAACAGAATTAAACAAGCGTAATGACAGGAAAAAAATTTATTAGTGAATAACAGCAGACTGTTGATGAAGCATATGCTGCTTTTCATCAGAGTAAGAGGTTCTGTTAAACCCCTAGTAAATGAAAGATAAACATTTATAAAATTTGTGAAGAGAAATGAAGTCTTTAACAGAGACCTTTGCTACTTTCACAATAAGGCCTCAGGACTCAGGAGGAAATGAGGCATTATCTCGCAGTGAAGGCAGACAAATTTTAAGTCTTATTATAATGAGTCTACATCAGTATTTTGTTTTAGATCAAGAGTGTAATTTTCAAGAAAATTAGATAGTTATTTCTACTAATTTTGCTTTGATTTATAAATGCCTCAGTGCTCATGAACTGTACTGATTCAGAGGAAACAAAACCAAGAGATCTTCTACAACTGCTAGCAGCTGTATAATCTACTGGACCAGGCTAGAGCTAGTCTGAAAATACTTTCTGACAGATCTAGAAGTATGTGTAGAAAGGATATTTTGCCTTCAGTACCATCTATTCCTTTCTATACCTTCATTCTTATTTTGTCCTCATGTACACAAAGCTTTAGCCTGTCTGACAGAAAACTGTTGCCATTTAGCGACAGTTCACCCAAGAGAAGAAGAAATACTTTGCTAGATTCACTCCCTAGAGTAAAAAATAATTTGCCAGATTCAGTCCCCTTCTGATTCAATGTAATTCATTCCTTATTAATCCTCTTCATGCCCCTAAATTCACAAAAGATATTTCATCTTCAGAAACATTTGTCTAAAGAAGTGTGAGTACCATGTAAAGAAGAAAAAGATTTTGTTAATGCTAGTATTGAGATAAGACAATAAAAAGTAGTGTCAAATGCACTTCTTTAGGGAGACTGTAAATTTTCAGTAATGTTTTATTTCTTTATGTACTTTTTCTCTAGGACCAGAGCATCATTTCAATGAACCTCAGAAGCTGAGTTTTTGTGACTAGTTTAATGGACCCTTGAGGTTCCTAAAATAAGTTACTGTGTCAAACTCTGTTGGAAAGCTAACTCATGTATCTATGAAGCTGTTATGCATCTTCATATATTGTCCAGCTAGTATAAGCAGCCCTAATTTCAGCTCAGAACAGAAAAAATATTTTTCACATGCCCCACTCTCTCAATTTGCCTTGAATGTATATGAGGTTCCTATAGTTGAAAAATTTGTAATCAATCACATTTATAGAAGCAGCTGTGATGATAATCTTATGCTTTAAAATATTTAGTATGACCTTTCTCATACAACCCGAAGGCAGCCCCAAGTGTATAAATCATGCATGTCAAATGTGAGTTGGAAGTAAATTCAAGCAACATTTGCTTGAAGAGTTAAATGAAATGGGCAACTAAAATGTAATATTACTTCCATAATTACTTCTCCATTTTTTATGATAGTGCTTTATGCCATGTCTTACAACCACTTTTCACATTTGAAAATAATGCTGCTTTCATTCTGAAAATGAGATATGTTTAATGTTATTTGAAGTGCAGGCCTGATTTTGTCTCACTTGTTCATAAATCTGTACTTAATAATCATTACCTACTTAAAATTTAGGTCTAGCTGACGCAGTTATATCCATTCAATTTTACTACAAATCACTGATTTACTAGATGATAAAATATTTCAGCATTTGGTACACAGAAAATACTTCTCCCAGGAAATAGGAAAAACTCAAAGAATGTGCCTAAGATTCACATATTGCACATATGTTAGTAGTTTTGAAAGTTATTTTACATCTTTAATTCTTGTATGCATTTGACCATCATATTTTTTTGCCCTATGTAGAAAAAAACAAACAAACAAACAAAACTACATTCGAAGAAATGTTGGCATGATCAAATTATTGCTTTGTCTCATATCATTGTTTTTTCTCTTTTCAGAATGTTTTTGTAGATAAACCAGCATTTCCAGAATACAAAGTTTCAGATGCAAAAAAATCCAAATTCATACTGTTGCATTTTAGCACTTTCAAAGCTGGCTGGGACTGGCTTATTTTACTGGCAACGTTTTATGTTGCTGTGACTGTACCTTACAATGTTTGCTTTATTGGCCATGATGAGCTGTCTACAACTCGAAGCACAACTGTCAGTGACATTGCAGTGGAAATTCTTTTTATCATTGGTAAGATATATTTGGAGCTTTTGGGGGGGTTGAGTTGAGTTGTTTTTCTGTTGTTTTATTGTTGTTGTTGTTGCTTGTTTTACTTCTAAGTTTTAATGCGATAGAGGAAATATACTTTCATGATTTGAAAATAAATGAATTTTAGTTGTATAATTTGAGAATTTATTTGAATTTTTGATTAACTGTTTATGTACATTAAATTGCTTCAGGTAGTCTTGCTATTTCTCAAAAAGTAGTTTGAACTTAATGTTCACAATCCTTCTCTTACCTTGTGGATGCCTAAGAGTTTTCTGAAACACCAATCACAGTTTGCCCGTGAATTACAATGAAGTTATTTATAACATATCTTTTTCTTATTTCAGTTTTGCAAGCACTTATACAAACACAGACTACAAGTTGAAAATCACTAATATTTTAAGATTAAAACTCTTATTACAGTAATGCCAATGTGCAGTGTTGATATTCTATACTGACACCTGGAATAACATTTAAGATGTTGCATCTTGGCATCTGATCCTTTCTCTAAACTTTTATTTCAGCGACCTTGTTTAATATTTATGCCTCCAATGAATTAAAAGGAAAACAAAGTGATGCCTAATAGCAAAGAAAGTTTGGCAGAGGAATTTTTTATTATCTTTTATTCATTTCTTTATGAATCTAGAAAAGAACCCCTGGCTAGGGTCACATAGATGTTGTATTTTCTGTTATTCTTTTACCACTAAATCACTGTTTGCTGTCACACTGACTATCAAATCTTTTGAAAATATGCAGGTGAAGAAGTCATTTGAAAGAAAAAAAAAAAAAAAGCAAAGCTGAACATGTCTTTCTTGAAAGTGAAAAGAATTGGGAAAGATTCTAATAGATAAAGAAAATAAATAAAATAATAAAATCTCCCTAATGTTTAACATTGTTTCCTATTTTACTTTTTTCTACTTTTTTTTCCTGAAAAAATGTGACAGCAATGTTACAATCTTCCCTAAGAAAACTGAAGTCTGAAAGTTAAATATTAAATATTAAGCAACAACTCTGATTGTCTTTAGTTTAACAGAAGCTTTTCTTATGAAAATTTTGAAGAGTTTATTTAATCTCTCTGTTTAATATAGACAGGAAAACCCACAGATACTTTGCTGATGGAACAATCAGATGTCAGGATGGATAAACATTTGTATTTTCTCCTTTTTATTGATTTGCAGTTATACTTATTGTGCAGTTTTCCTCTTTGTGCTCCCTATTACATCTTGGCTGACTCCCAAGTTAACGCAACTGATTCATATTGAATTACACAACAGTATTGCAGTAAGAAATCTGTGTTCTGCAACACAGATCACAGAGGATCAGTTTGTGTGCTGTGCACAAAGACCATATTTACACGTCCAGTGAGCCATAAATGACTCCATGTTACATTTTAAAGAATTCAATATGAAATTATTCTACTTGATCTACCTGGGAGTCTTTTTATGTTTATTAAAATCATAGACTCAAGGCTAAGATATTTTGCTAGTAGTTGTACTCTTAAACACACACAGGTGTAGATTACAAGTCTGTGCTATGAATGTGACTGTTAGAATCTGAGTATGAGAATTTAATATGGGCCTATCTAATTTATGTACTTTAGTGTTCATTTGTAGCAACACAGATGGTGTATTGCTCAGTGCAACTTTTTTTTGTTATATCCTTTGCAGTAAACAGAATTTTAGTAAGTCAAAATCCATAGTATCTCTGTGATCAATAAAATAGTTGGGTATGAAAAATGAAAGTAAGTTATTTTATCAGTTTTACTTGATATTTTCCAGTCAGACTGTTAGCTCCATCATCCAGGAAACCAAACTGTGCTTATAACTAAATAAATTTTTTAAAAATGTTGAAAATGTGAGAAAATATTTATTTGAATAGCTAATATTATTTGTAAGCCAACACTGCACTATAACGTAATAATTTTTCTCCTCCAGTTATACTAATGCCTTGATTTTTCCCAAATTAATTGTGGAAAAGGATTATGGAACATTCAGTAAAAGATCATACTGCATTTAAATCTCTGCATTAAATTTAAAGAAAATTGTGTATTTATAGTAATATCTCAGTGGTCCCTTCCATTAAAATATTGAATGAATGTCTAAGAACCAGAGTAACCGTATTAAAAGTGGTAAGATTAACAGTATGCATAATTTTAAACATAAGTTTCAGGGCATTGCTGCACTGCAGCTCTTCAAAAAGTTAATGAGAAGTGTTCAGTAAAACTATGACACTTCCATTTGAGTTGGTCAATGGGAAAATGCCTGAGGTTGGGTCCTTAGCTACTTTACAGCCCTGTAATCATTGCTTGAGTCATAATAGCTCTGTAATCATGGACTGAGCAGCAGGAGTCTATCTTCTCAGATTTCATTCAGATTTCTCAGAACATGGGATAATATTCTTTTTACTCATGCAACTTGCTTAAAATCTTATTTGGATTTGGAAGGCCCTACTTTTTACCTATGTTATCAAGGGAAGCAGAGCCATGACAATAAAAAGGAGAGATGTTGTCTGCACATCATTTTAAGGCAAGGAACAACATAGAGGCCTTTATGCAGAAGAATTTGAATAAATACACTGGCTAAAAATATATATTTTAGGCTTATCCAATATGCAATTCAGCATATGCATAAGCATGATAAAAACACATATGAAAGTGTTCATCTGATTTAGGGTACTTATCAGTAGTAGTATTGATCTGAATTAAATTATTTGTGAAAAAGGAATATACCTAGCTAGAGGTTTGACTGTCTTAAAGACCTCTAAAGAATAAACAGAAGATTAATAATAATTAAAACCTAGTACATGATGTCTTTGGGGAAGGTGTTGGAGATAGAATGTAATTAAAGCTTTTCAAAAAAAGTTAATATTATTAAGTTGAATTACAGCTTAAAGTATTTTTCACTTGATGTTTCCTGTATGTGCTAGTGTTTTGATAAGTTGGTGTGATGCATTGTTTGAACATACGCTTAGATCTCTTTCCCTTTGGAATATGTGCATGAAATATATTCCCTATGTAATATATATATTTAACATTCTCTTGTACGTGTATAATTTGATGCTGCTATCCTGTGATTAGAACTCTTTGATGGATTCATGCATCTTAAAATCATAAAGAGGAGGAGCGAAAGCCTTTTTAACATTAGTATATTTAATCAAATACTTAAAATAATTATCTTTTTGTTTCATTTGATGAGTGAGATTACCAGCTTTATGATAATATTTACTTTGAAGTTTCTTTCTCTCACTGACATAGGTGGTAGGTGGGTCCTCCATTTACAGGTAGTTATTTATGGGGCCTGAACAACAAAATTAACCATATTTCTAAGAATCAGAATAGAAAAAAATATAAGACAACCTAACTATCTATTCCACCTCTCTTCCCCACCACACACACAGCTTTTGTGAATTATCAGCTACTCTAGAAATGAGATTACAGGAGATTAGAAAATCTCTGTTGAACATCCTCATGAGTAAAGAGACCATACTGAAAACATAAAATCACAGGGATGAAAATCAAGGAAGTGGATTAAGGAGCATAACAACTCTTTATTTTTTAAGCTTATGGTCTTTTGGTCTGTTTCATGATACTGGGATTTGAGTTCCTGGGCTCTCAGTACACATAGCATTGCCAGTAAAACCTCAATTTTACTTTTTGTCACGCTTGTCATTCTGTGTGTCTCAGCATGGCTGCAGTCGTGGGTACAGCAACTTGTAACTGTGATATTGGCTTGAACACACCATGCCAGCACATTAACACTGACTGTACTGTACTCTTGGAAGGAATGACTTTTCTTTCTGCCATATCCATTCAAATCACTAATGCTTTCAGATTTTGATGTTAATGGATAATTTACCCAAGTAAAACAGTTCTGTCTTCAGTATCCCATTATCATCTACTGTAGGAACAAATAACAAGGAAGAGCAAATTGGTGTCTCAGCTACAGAAAGGTTTTGAAAACTAGTTCTGCTATGGACCATCATGCCAGAAAACAGATCTTGCTCCATTAAAATCTCTGAACATTTTGTCAATATGTCAGGCTGTACTAGAGCAAGGCTGAGAACATAAATCAGGGTGTTGCCATCGAGCAGAGACCACACCATTCCTCATACGCTGTTCAGTGATCAGCATATTAGTGTCCAATAATGAATAAAATCGTAGAAGAAACTTGACTGGTTATACACCTTATTCCAAACTCAGTTGTGAATGTTGCAAAGCATAATTTTTCAACTTTATGTAGCTCACAGTAAAAGAGAGGTGAAAAAATTATATTACCTAGCATTTTCTGTAATCAAAAAGAGTGCCATGAGAAGTTACTGAATCAGCTGACTAATCCTAAATTGCTATTTTGCTGTAGCTTGATGATACGTTTAATACCAGTAGGCTTTGTTTAAAAAAAAATCAAATCTAAGGAGAAAAATAGAATGTTGGCAGATAAAAACCAACTGTTTCAGGTAATGTAATCCTGTTTATTGGTAAAGTGGTTCAGCTGCCCTGCAAATAGTTTTATCATTGGGTTACCTCTTTTTTTTAAATTTTATTTTATAATAGGGATTAAAAACTGAGATTATACAAAACATATTTTAGAACTTTGCTTCTGAAATTGGAAAATTCTTAAAAACATCTTAAGGACTTATAGTTTGAATATTATTTTACAATTTTCACTTTTTTAATATCATCTAAGATTGCAACCTGCATTACACATTAAGTAGAACCTCTGGCTTTTTACACAGTCTTTCTTCTCTTCCTTGAGCAGCAGTATAAACTAGTACTTTCATACTACTGACTAAGTGTGCATGTGTATGAATTTTGTCATGGCAGAAATGCGTAAGAGAATGGTTTGTCAAAGAATGTGATTTCCTACTGAACTTTAATTCAAGAGTCACAAAATAGTGCAGTAGACCTACTGATCCACCCTAAGTTCCCAGCAAATTTATACCCAGCTATGAAATACGCTGGGGTGCTAGAACGTGGATTTTTATGAGGG